CAGCTTCTCAGAAAACTCTGCCACGTGCGGCAGCAAATCCTGCGAGTCAAACGGTCGTAACGACCAGCGCCGCAAGGGGCCACCCAGCCCGTGCACGGCTACGACACCGGCAACTTTCTTCTGCTACAGGCGACCGGGTTGTACCCAGACAAGCGGCCGAGTGGGATGAGCAAGTGGCTGTCACCGCAGGGTATTGGCGCTGGAACCAGGACCCCCGACACGGGTCTGGGCCGCCAGCCGCGCTGGAGTACGTGCCAGCCACCAAACCAGACGAGACTCCGGACGAACCTGCACGTGCAGCCGCAGACACCCAACGCAGCAGAAGCAGCAACGGCCCCGAAGAAGACCCACAGCACCAGCAGCGACAGGCCGAGCAGGCCCACCAGCTTTTGAGAGGCAGGCAACAACGCCGCCTCCGGCGGGGGCAAGACCAACAACCATAGCAGCAGCAGCACGAAGTCTTTCCGGTGGTTCCTTGGTGAGGAGCACGGCGAGAAGGTGGGATGTCGGATTGTGATTCATCAGGCATGTTGTGTTGACCCATCATCATGGATGACGGAGGTGCAGGTGGCAACGGTAGTGGTAGCGGAAGTGGTGGAGGAGGTGGTAGCGGTGGTATTGGTTCGTCATCAGGCCCACGCCACAACCGAATTAGCCAAGTGGGTTGGCGTCCATGCGACGCGCAAAAGCCCCAGCAAGCACCAAGCGTCTTTAGCCGCGCAGCGCGTCAAGCGCGAACTGCGCGACGCATGGAGGGCGCAACGCTGGACGGCCTTCCTGAAGAGCGGGACCAAGGCAGCCAACCAACTTCAGCACCTGCAATGAGAACAGGTCAAAACGGCGGCACCTTCTGCGTGGGTAGCCAGCAAGCCCTCTGTCTCCTTGCTACTGAAGTCCGCCGCTGCTGGATATGAGGCGGGGCCCCATCCAACCGGCCCGTCGTTGGATGGAGCATGGCTCCACCAACCTCCAGCTCGATGCCCGCAACGAGCCGCAGCGCCCCACTGTGGGTCACCGCGCCACACGTGCGCCAGGCAACAAAGAGGCCATTGCCCACTGGTTACGCGAGGGGTGGCGTGCCCATCAATGGCACACCTTTGCCCAGTTTGGCACGCGCGCAGCCGCTACACTTGGCCACAGCAGCAACAGCACAATGGCGCCAACAAGCGCCCCTACACGTGGTGGCCATCACAGTCGATCACTGGGTAAGTCAAGCACGGCTTGCCTCCAATAGTGATGAGCAGGTCATGCCCTGTTTCTGGTGTGGATACGAACGAACTTATGAGTGGATATGCACTAAGGTGCTGCGCCCTTCCCAGACACTTTGTTTAAAGCTTCTGGCAGAACTGGCGCAGGTCTGTCTGTGCATTTTGCAGCAGCGATACTCGCCTGCTTGAGAGCAGGCCGCAGCCGTGCAGAAAGCCCTTTGTCAGGCTACGACCTTGGAGGCGATTGGCTACGGGGAAGTTGTGTGTTTGTGTGTTGTGCTTGTTAGCCTGTCTGTTTGTTGGTTTGTTTGGTTAGTGTTTTCGGTTTGGTTGGGCCCGGTTGGTTGTTTGACTGGTTGGTTGGTTGTTTGGTTGGTTAGTTGTTTGCTTGGTTGGTTGGTGGGTGGGTGGGTGGGTGGGTGGTTGGTGTGTTGGATGGTTTGTCGGTTTGTTTGTTTGTTGTTTTTTTCTTGGTTGGTTTGTCTGTTGGTTTCGTTGGTTGACTTGTTGGATTGTTTGGGTGGTTTTGGTGTTTCTTTATGTGTTTCTTTGTTCGTTTGTTTGTTTCTTAGTTCGTTGCTCTTTCCTTTGTTGCTTGCTTGCTGGCTGGCTGGCTGGCTGGCTTGGCTTAACTTGGGCTTGCTTGGCTTGCTTGCACTTGGACTTGGAGACAACAGCGGCTTCATGTCGGCTAATTGTTCTTGTCACGCATTATTGCTACAGCAGGAGCTGAACGGTAAAGTCGCAGTGAGCCGCCGCTACCTTGTGCAACAACATCAGGCATGAACTGGCTCTGCCAAGAAAGGGTTGTTTGATGCCGACGAGTTTCTGACGCCTTTCTGTCGCAAGGTTTGCTGCGTAAAGAATCCAGTTACAGTAAGCTATGGCTGGCGTGCTTGCGCTAGCGGATCAACAAAATCTGTAATCTGTAGACTATGCATGTATGGCCGGGAACCTCGAAAGATCCGCTATGTAGTTGCGGAAGTATGTTGATGTCGCGAGCTTCTAAAGCTTGCTGTTGACCCACTTTGATAGGGCGTTCTTCGCAAAGTATTCAACTGCTGCGCGAAAAGCGATGATCACCGGGGCCCCAAAAAAAACACAAAAGACTGCCGCACAATTTCGGAGGCTTCGAAGGAGTAGGCGCTGACGAATGGCCGTTTTGGGGACAATTCGGAATTGGATCAACCCACATGTCTGTGGGACCAACGCGCTGAAATTGGCAAGATGCTGAAAAGAGCAAATCGAGGAACAAAAGACATTGCAGTGCCCTTTGCACTTGCAGATGTTCAGCAACACATCACGTCAAAATCGGAAACATTTGGAGAAGAAATCATAGTCCATTATGCGGCTGTCGGACAGACAAACAACCAGACAGACAGGCAGACAGATAAGAGAGAGAGAGAGAGAGACAGTTCGAGACAGAGACACACACGCACACACACACACACACACACACACTCGCGCACTCGCACAGGCAAACGGGTACACCATGGTACAGAGACACAGACAGACAGACACGCAGACACACAGACACACCGACAACACACACACACACACATTGCACATGTGGTTGCACAACTGGATTTTACTTCAAATCAGGTTGTCATTATTTGCTCCAACTGAGATATGAATCTATTGCAAGGCGTGGCACTATCCTGATTGAAAGGGCGGTGAGACTGACAGACCGAAGGAGGTGGGACGAGGATGTCCGCCTGTGCACAGGAGTTCATCGATGGAGTCATGCGATGCAAAGGCCCAGCACGAGCTATTGACCAGGTTGCTTTACATGCAGCATCTCGGCTGTAAATCTCCGGTCAAGAAGATGCTGGCCTTTGCCGTTTCAATCAACCACAAAAGTAACTTGCCTCCGTGCTAAATGCGCTTCGCATTCGAATAGTGACAGCAAGGAGCTCGGCTCATTATTGTAGACGATACTGGCACTGGACTCCAACTCTCGGGAGTCATCACAAAGTCCCTTCCTTGTGGCTGCCATGCGTGGCTTCAATGGGGGTCAAGGGTGGGATTTGATGAAATTCAAGCAAGCTGAGGATTTGAAGCAGTTGGACGCCAAGTTTAACAAGCTTCTCACCAAGCTGAGAGACACTGACTCCGTGCTCCATGCCAGGCAGTATTTTGTATTTTGGACTTGTGTGCTGAAGATGCAGCAGAGCTGTCACTGCTGAACATGTTGGCTACATTGAGGTGAAGTGAAAGCAGCAGGTGTGCACTTGCTTTCACTTGCTATAATTCCTAGCTCGTCGGAACATTGAGTGAGTCATTGAGTCAACCACTAGATCAATGTCAAGTGCTAAACATTGCAACTAAGCACTGGAAATAAGCACCAATTGCACCTGGCATCATGCTGCAGCAGTTTGCAGGTCTTCGGAGACAAAGCAAGGATCCAAAAGCGGTATGAAGCAGGCTGAGCTGCTGCGAGTTTTTCGAGGCGATATTTCCCCTCACCAAACTCCCGAGATCTCTTTTCACCTTGGATGGGAGCGTTAGGCTATTGACAGGTTGCAGCTACCTGGCTGAAAGAGCTATGTAGGCGTTCGGCTTCGATTGAAAACAAGTGCAAGCAAGGGTATGTGGCCAATCCATCATGGACAATCCGTCTCATTTTTTTGGGCAAGTCTCAAAGTGTTGATGCAAGTCCACGATGAAAGTCCAGTCTGCCTTCGGCCAAAGTGTCGAAAAAGTCATGCAATGGACTTGTTGGCTTTGACAAAAATTACATGATGCTTTGAAGACAGGTGTAGATTCCGCATTTGAAGGTTTCACGCACCGCCTCCCCGCCGAACCTCGCCAACTGCCCCAACCCCCAACCGCCCCCCCTCCCCCATGGGGATCGAGGGGGGGGGGGTGTGGCAGGATCAATTGTCAATTTTAACGAGAACCGTGTGACGATTCTGCCAGGCACTTGCACAGCTGTCAGTCCCAATTAGCAGGTGATGTGTTAGCTATGTGTGATGACAAATGTGTGGTAAGGACGATTCTCATCCTTCACATTAATTTTAAGCATGTATACTTTTCATGTTCTTTGATTCTTTTCTCAAAAGATGCTGCTGGTGGCCATTCCCCAAGATTGCAGGCAGATCGAGCCGGAAGGCTAAATAAAAAAAAAAAAAAAAAAAAAAAAAAAAACATCACAGAGCTGGGCTGCAAAAACGACAGCTCTGTAAGCAAGTTTGACTGTTTTGGAAGGCTTAAAGTTTGTTGCTGCCGCTAGGACGCTTGGTGCCGTTTGCCGAAGGCATGGCGCTTTCTCGAGCGGTGAGAGCCTGACACCGATGCCACGTGCTGGGGAGTACTGGCAACTGCTCCCTGTGTTGATGCCATTGAGGTGGTTTTGCCTTTTCCTAGTTATGCGCTGACTCCGTTTGCGGCACACAGGTGGAAAGCCTGGATTTAGAAGAGCTTTCGTCCAGTTCTGCATCGCTGCAGTATGTGCGCATGCAGACCGAAAACGAGTCTCTTCTCACCTGTATGTGCAGATGAAAAATGATTGGCTGCAAAGTGTCACAAAAGAGCTGAGCAGGGAGATGTCCCAGCACTGATTGCACTCAAGCTACCTTCTTTCGGCATCGGCTGGTTGTTAGAAGAGAAACAACTCAACGTTGGCATGTGTTTGTGCCCGAAGCCTCTCCAATGCAAGAAAAGCAAGTTAATTCCCTTGCTGCGCATAGTCTCGTAAAGGTAGATCTTGCTGGAACGAGTTCTACTTACTGCACAATTTTGAACATGTTGCTTGGTAGCCTCTTGCGAGCAGTTAGCAGCCCTGCATGACAGGGCTGCGAAGTGAGTGAAGAGGACTTCCAGGCGTTGCGGAGGCACTCGCGGCAAAGTGTCAAAGCAAATTGTGTGGGAAGTGTCAAGCTGGTCGGGAAATGTGTCGCGACATGGTTGAATGAAACATAGGTTGGACAGTCCTGGCGGCCAAAGCTACGGAAGGTGAAGACCAGAGACGGATAGATCCTGTCTGGGGAGGTGCAGCAAGACCGGTGAGCGCTTTGTCGGCCTCTTGCAGAACAGGAGCTCAATAATGCACTGCCACGGGCCACAGGTGATAACACGATGCAACTGAATTGTCAGTGTTTCCGAAATCCTCAGAAACCTCAGAAATCTGAAAGCTTGAGGGGAAATGGCGGCAGGTGCTGCGCCGGGCTGGGCCAGGGTGTTACTAAGACTGAAGGGCAACAGCAGTGCAGGTGAAGAGCCTGAACTGTGAAGCGCTGTTGCAGAGTATGTTGCAACGTTGGATAGTGTGACTGAGAATTGCGCAGAGCACTGTTCAAGGGCGCTGGGCCAGGGGCGGGCAGGGTGTGACTAGAGATTTTGGCAATGTGCTGAAGTTTGCTGTTGCAAGGCGTTGCAAAGTGCTGTTGAAGGGTTCTGGTAACCATGTGCTGCTACAGGATGGTGATGTTGGGCAGTGTGCTGTTGGAGGGTGTTTGTCTTGGTAGGGACCTTCGCCGTGGTGAAGCACCGGTTTTTTGACACACAGCCCCAAACTATGGAAGGTTTGATATGAGAACGCAAGAGCTTTTCAAGGCATCAAATGCCCCCGTTGGACCCATTTTTGCGTGGCAGACCTCGAAAATTGTATCAAACTTATCAAGAACACGTGGCTTTGACACGGCCATTGGATTGAGCAAAGACTTGGCATGGCCAGGAGGAGCACAGGGGAGACGTTTATGAACCTTCTCGACTTGCAAGGCCAGCCATGGATTCAGAAGATTTATGGTATACCATGGTCCTTGCCCCATTGTGCAGCATTTTCACTGCGCTTGATCACTGTCAGGTCTCATCGTGGCACGAGACCACTCCAGGGGAGGGCGCGGCCCGGGCGCAAAAGAACTTGTATGCAGGGTTTTGGAGGCCCAAAGTGACATGTGTCAACTCTTGAACATTGAGCGCAGTTGCTGCTACCAACTTTTCTACAATCATATTGTCAGGATTTGCTTTGGTACAGTACAGAGCGGATCAGGCGCACCTTCCTCACACTGATCAATACCATTGGATGAGCAAGTAAGTGGGAGCTGAACATACGAACATAGTTATACACGGATACATATATATACATTAATATATATATATATATGTATATATTAATATATATATATATATACATATTTATTATGCATAGTTCACAGTGCCACAAGAGCCGCTGCTCATTTCTACTTGGGATGTCACTTTTGCCAGTGAGTCATTCTATCAGCATGGCAGAGGCGAGAGCAACCATGGCAATGCGGCTTGACCATTGACGACTTGACATAACATTGTGCGAGAGGGAGGACCAGCCATCCGCCGCCCATGTTTGCAGGGCCGATGTGATGTTTCTGGTCGGCATTCAGGCTCGGGAAAGCACGCGTTCGCCTGTGGAGTTGTTTGTTGTTTGGTTTATGGCACGTGCCAGCCAGCTGCAAATTGCACCTGACCCAACGAAGACCTGTGAAGTGTGTTGATGATTTTTAGAGCTGATGGGCATCCTGTTAGACCTAATCATGTTAAGTTGCGAAATCGCAGTTTTTCCTTAAAAAACACTCTCCACACTGTTGTTGCATCGATAGCTTGATTAGGTTTTGGTTTATCTCTAAAACAATGCCAATAAATCGTGCTGTTTTGCAGTTTGGGTTGTGATTTAGGTTAACATGAAGGCTGACAATGTGTGTTTGCTGCAGCCATTTTGTCTCATTTGGGCTGTGATGTACGTTGGAACAAGTGCCCAACAAAGCATTTTTTGTTGCAACCATTTCAGTATCATAGTTGTGGTGATTTCAGTTTCCAAAAGTTCCTCTTGTTTTGCAATGTTGTATAATATACAGGTTGTGATTTAAGTTTAAACCAATGTGTACTACTCCCGGCGGCGCCGTGCGGATTTGTGTTGCGTCGGATCAACTCTTTGCGTGGATTGTGTGTGTGTGTGTGGGATCGCTATCTTGGTGGCGCCATGCGCATTTGTGTAGCGCTGAAACAGCCCTCTCCGCGTTCGGATCGCATGTACGTTTCGCCGGATCAACCTTTTGTGTGGATCGCGCGTGCTCACATCGAGTTTGTGTTTTGCCAGATCAACCTTTGCGTAGATTGCGCGAGTCGCATCGGTCTCGCTGTGGCGCCGCGCGTATTCATGTTGCGCCGGGCGAACCCCATGCGTGGATCGTGTGTGTTGGATCTCCCCAGCCCTGGCCTGCTTCTTGAGGGGTGAGATTCAATTGGCTCGGTGCCCAATTGGGCAATCACTGCATTTAATTCCGACGTAAAGAAACAGAAAGCAACAGACATTGGCCCGTGGCACAGGGCTCTGCAGATTCAGCGGGGTTCTACAGTTGCCGCTGTTTCCTGCTTCCTCGTAAGTGTGCCGGGAATGCACACTGCTTCAGCTTCCATGCCGTGTACCTTTTCGCTGGGAAGGTTGAAGCAATGTGTTTTGCTTGGTAGTCTAGGGGTTTGTTCCCACCTTTAAGGTGCTGCCACAAGGAAATGTTTTGTAGAGCAGTGAGCTTGATCTTCCCTGTTTGAGTTCCGCCAAACGCAGGCCGATGTCACGTCTGCGTGCGATGCACACCACACGGTGCGCGAGCTTGTGACGCCGTCAATCGTGAAGCAGCTGTGTCCAGACTCGGCAAGCTTATAGTGATTCATCAGTTTGGCCAGCCACACAAACGCTCATGCTGGTGCCATCTCTTTCGTGTCAGCTGCGTTAATATAGCGGCACCAGGCAAAAGGATTGTTCTGCTATGTTGTGCCAACGGCAGGTACCAGAAGATCATAGGCAGGCGCTGGAGGTCGTTGCAGCTCGAATGCAGCAGGAGCTGTCGGGAGGGAGAGGCATTGCATTT